CCTTAGGATATTAGATCGACCGTAGATCTAGATTCCCTTGTAGGTCGACCGTAGATCTAGATTCCCTTGTAGGTCGATTGTAGACCTAGTTTTTGGTAGACCGACCGTAGGTCTTACCTTAGGATCTTAGATGGACCGTAGATCTAGATTCCCTTGTAGGTCAATCGTAGACCTAGTTTTTGGTAGACCGATTGTAGGTCTTACCTTAGGATCTTAGATCGAACGTAGATCTAGATTCCCTTGTAGGTCGACCGTAGACCTATATTTTGGTAGACCGACCATAGGTCTTACCTTAGGATCTTAGAACAACCTTAGATTTAGATTCCCTTGTAGGTCGACCGTAGACCTAGTTTTTGGTAGTACGACCATAGGTCTTACCTTAGGATCTTAGATTGACCGTAGATCTAGATTCCCTTGTAGGTCGACCATAGACCTAGTTTTTGGTAGACCGACCGTAGGTCTTACCTTAGGATCTTAGATCGACCGTAGATCTAAATTCCCTTGTAGGTCGACCGTAGACCTTGTTTTTAGTAGACCGATCATAGGTCTTACCTTATGATCTTAGATCGACCGCATATCTAGATTCCCTTGTAGGTCGACCGTAGACCTAGTTTTTGGTAGACCGACCGTAGGTCTTACCTTAGGATCTTAGATCGACCGTAGATATAGATTCCCTTGTAGATCGACCATGGACCTAGTTTTTTATAGACCGATCGTAGGTCTTACCTTAGGATCTTAGATCGGCCGTAGATCTAGATTCCTTTGTAAGTCAACCATAGACCTAGTTTTTAGTAGACCGACCGTAGGTCTTACCTTAGGATCTTAGATAGACCGTAGATCTAGATTCCCTTGTAGGTCGACCGTAGACCTAGTTTTTTGTAGACTGACCGTAGGTCTTACCTTAGGATCTTAGATCGACCGTAGATCTAGATTCCATTGTAGGTCGACCGTAGACCTATTTTTTGGTAGACCAGCCGCTGGTCTTACTTTAGGATCTTAGATCGACCGTAGATCTAGATTCCCTTCTAGGTCGACCGTAGACCTAGTTTTTGGTAGACCGACCATAGGTCTTACCTTAGGATCTTAGATCGATCGTAGATCTAGATTCCCTTGTAGGTCGACTGTAGACTTAGTTTTTGGTATACCGAACGTAGGTCTTACCTTAGGATCTTAGATCGACCGTAGATCTAGATTCCCTTTTAGGTCGACCGTAGACCTAGTTTTTTGTAGATCGACCTTAGCTCTTACATTAGAATCTTAGACCGACCGTAGATCTAGATTCCCTTATAGGTCAACCGTAGACCTAGTTTTTGGTAGACCGACCGTAGGTATTACCTTAAGATCTTAGATCTACCATAGATCTAGAGTCCCTTGTAGGTCGACCAGAGACCTAGTTTTTGGTAGACCGATTGTAGGTCTTACCTTAGGATCTTAGATCGATCGTAGATCTAGATTCCCTTGTAGGTCGACCGTAGACCTAGTTTTTGGTAGACCGACCGTAGGTCTTACCTTAGGATCTTAGATCGACCATAGATCTAGATTCCTTTGTAGGTTGACCGTAGACCTAGTTTTTGGTAGACCGAATGTAGGTCTTACCTTAGGATCTTAGATCGACCGTAGATCTAAATTCCCTTGTAGGTCGACCGTAGGCCTAGTTTTTGGTAGACCGACCGTAGGTCTTACCTTAGGATCTTAGATCGACCGTAGATCTAGATTCCCTTGTAGGTCGACTGTAGACCTAGTTTTTGGTAGACCGACTGTAGGTCTTACCTTAGGATCTTAGATCGACTGTAAATCTAGATTCCCTTGTAGGTCGACCGTAGACCTAGGTTTTGGTAGAATGACCGTAGGTCTTACCTTAAGATCTTAGATCGACTGTAGATCTAGATTCCCCTTATAGGTCGACCTTAAACCTAGTTTTTTGGTAGACCGATTATAGGTCTTACCTAAGGATCTTAGATCGACCGTAGATCTATATTCCCTTGTAGGTCGACCGTAGACCTAGTTTTTTGGTAGACCAACCGTAGGTCTTACCTTAGGACCTTAGATCGACCATAGATCTAGATTCCCTTGTAGGTTGACCGTAGACCTATTTTTTTTGGTAGATCGACCGTAGGTCTTTCCTTAGGATCGTAGGTCGCCCGTACAACTTATCCGCTGTATTTTTGTACCAACTTTGGTATCATGCCACGTCACGAGTCTAATCTCTATCTTTTCACTGAAAAACAAAAAAATTCTCTCCCCAGTAGATATTATAAAAACAAATAAACACTTACACTTTCTCTCAGAACAAATTTTTGGCATTGGTATTTAATCATCTTCTACCTTGAACTTCCGAAAGGCACACGCCAATCGTGCTTTCAGTTTTAAGACAATTAAATATGGGGAAGCTATAATACCCCAAATTTTTCCTACCCTTTCACCTATTATTTGCCTCATGCAATTCTAATTCCATCTGTACCCATCTCCATTAGGTCATCTAGCGCATGGTGCATTCATTAACAATAAGGTTTGGTATTTAAGGTAAATGGTCACGGGATTAGGGTTTCACTCAGTCATCAATGTTTCACCTCTTTGCAACTTTATCTCAACTAAAGACTCGAGGGTTATTTACAAAATCATTGAAGGTCAACTTCATGTGCTCATCATATCCATGGGGATTAGGTTTATTTTCCTAATCATGTGGGATTCAAGAGGGATCCATGAAGTTTGTTCATAAGTTCATCTCATCACCAAAGACATTCCATTAGTGCTTGAGGTGTGAGGTTACAGAAGAGATCTTGGTGTATTCAGGGTACCTTAAAGTTTTGTTCGAGAGTTCTCTTCAGTATGCAACACGAGGAAGCTATCATTGAAGAATATCTTATCCATTGGATTCTAGATCTTCTATTGGTTTTTCTTCATTAAGGAAAGTTCGCTTGTTGCATTGAATCATAGAACATATGGCTAAGGTTTCATATAAGAAGATGGAAATATAGTTTCACTTGGATTTTATTCATAAATTAGGGTTTGTGGACGTCAATGTGAAATATGATCTCATATGAACACTTGGGTTTACTTATGGCCTAAAATTTCCTTGGGGCTTCATTTCAAGTGCTTCGGGATTAAAACCTAGTGTTTCCTTGTGAAACATTAGAGTTTTAGATCAAAGGTCCTAGAAATAGTCAAGTCTATTCAATTACTTAAGGATACTTAAGGGCGGTGATTCATTCCATTGTTGAAAAGTCAAGGCGTGGAAATACACAATTGTCTATTCAAATGCAATTATAAGAGAAGACATTAGGAATTCACGATCAATTTGAAAAGGAATATCACTTTTAATATTTTGAAGAATGTATCATTTGGATTCAAGGGTTTATAAAGTATGCTTCTTCTACAAAATCCAGCATCTTGTTCATTATGACTACAATACCTTTTCACTATGAGAAGTTAATCCTATCAACATTCCAATTACATACCATACATCAAGACTTCAAAAGAATATAATCATATTCCAAATCCCATAAACCAGTACAAGATCAAGGCATTACAAAACTAGCTTATTGCAATTTCTAGTTTAAAGGATCTTCGTCAAAATATTCAACAAAATTACAAAGACAATAGAACAATTCAAATTACATGGAAAATCTATCCAAAACGCATCCATACTGTTACAAATGTTATGAAAGATTTCAAGTTTTATTCCATTTGAGTCAAAGATCCTAGAATACCTAATCTTTACCCAACCTTGTCTTCCATCTTTTGTCCTCACATCATCATCAACTTCATGATATATGCCATGCTTTAACCAATCTTCAATGCTCCATAACCAACCTCCACCTTCAATCTTCTTCATGTTGTTCAAATTCTAAGATCTACATGTACCAACATTTCATGCCCTTCATGTTTCAAAATTTCTTCATGATCCAAAAGCCTCCACCATTTCATAAGCTTTACGACTTATTATTCAACAACAAACAATCACCCTGCATCAGTCTCGAGAATGACAAAAAGAAGCAACCCAAAAAACACATGCGTTAGTTCACGGGCCAATTCAAAGCTTAGAAAAGTAGAAAATACAGAAATCCGAAAATGAAAATGGAATATTAACAGAATTCTCTAATTGCCAGCTCATATAAGACCAATTTACCAACCTGCATAATTTTCGTAACAACTTTCAAACTTCCAACACAACAACTAACAACTCATTCAATAATAGGAAAAAAAGCAAAACTTCTCTAACTGAATCAAAACTATCAATCCATAACAAAAACTAACAGAATTCTAACGGAATTCTGGCTTCAACCAACTGCCTCCAACCAAATTGTAACAGAAAAGATTGAAGTGGAAATTTCCAATAAAGATAACCATAATAGAATTGCAGACCCTGCATTCCAACTAACAGCCTAAGCTCCTTAACTAACTATTTCTTTTCTTACTAACAAAAAAGCAGAATTCAGAAATTTTCTCGTCTTCCTAATAGCCCTATCAATAACCCCTCTAGCTGGAACTTATAACAAAATCTAAACCTTCATAACTCCTGTAATAAAGCTCTAACAAATTTCTAACGGTAACCAATTGTGCAAAACAGAGTTTCTTAACAACCTCCATAACAGAATTCCAGCTCATCCTAACTGTTATAACTAACTAACAGAATTTCACCCAATGGTCTAATAGAAAACCAGAAACAAACTCTTCACTTATAACCTATTTCTAACCGCATCTCAACAGAAAAAAGGGGGATAACAGAATAGATCTAACAAAAGAGAGAGGGGGAGGAGGAGAATTTTCACGATTGAGAAGAGGAAAATTGAAAAAATAGAAACTCACCTTGAAGAAGCTTTCTTCTCTTCCATCCTCTACCTTCACTCTCGTTCTCTCATCTCTCTCCCATTCTCTACTCAGCTCGATAACCAAAAACCTTTCAGTCCTCTCTCCATAACTACTTCTGAAAATTCTTCAATCCTTAACCTACTGTAACCGAGTCTTCAAGCTTCTTCAGCAATTTTATTCAATCTTTATCAAGCTACAACCATTGCACCTTCTTCGTCATCACCTTCATCATTTTCTGCAACTTCCATCTTCACTCTCTCACGTATCTTCATTACAAATCTGCATTGTTCATCGCCGCCTTCATCATCACTCACATCTTCAAGGTAACAACTCCAATTTTCAACAACAACAACTTATGCGCACTGCAAGGACAACAACACATCAATTCAATCACGTAGAAAAGAGGAGAACAAGAAGAAGAAAAGGATTTTGGATTCTTACCTAATCACTGTGAAGATCAGGTTCCTGATTTCCTCCCATCGGCATTGCAGAACCACTGGAATTCGCTCCGGCAGGTAAGCTTCCCTTTCCATCCTCCTTTCATCTTTCCACTTTTTTCTCGATACCGTCGTCAAGGTCATTGAGTCCATAATCTCGAGCGTTACTGAAAGCTCCAATTGAAGTGCCTCCACGGATCCAACAATAATTCGAGGCGAAGGTTTGAAGGGATAAGGTTAAGACACGATGTTTGGCAGTGGCAATCGATGTTTTCTGGCAATGATAATGGTGGTTACGGTGTAAATTCATCGGAAGAAGAAGAGGATGGAAGTAACGAAATGACGAGGAGTGAGACAAAATGGCTTAAACGTTTTACAGCCATGGTGGCGCTTGAATCTTCAATTGAGAAAAGAGAGGAGGAATTGATATGGCGCCGCCAGCGAGGCTTCGGAGAAGAAGAAGGCGGTAATGCAAAGTTTCTTTGCCCTAATTCCCTTTCCAATTGAAAAAAAAATTATGGTAATGCAGAGTGAATCTCTGTTGGGTCGGACCCCCTCCTTGCCAAGCCCATAACATTGTTTGTTGAAACCTGTTGTCTTGAGAAAGCAAAAACTGCTTTTGGACTTTAGATGCTGGGCTAAATCTTATTCCCTTGGCCCGTTTTTTTTGTTTGTAACTTGATGATGAAAACAAAAACATATTACTAATGGGCATCATTTCAAACAGGCCAGCGCCCAACTTGCTGGGCCTAGCATCCTGACTTCTAGCATACTCCCTGAATCTAGTTTTTTCACCCCCCCTGAGCGCATATTCTCATTTAGGCCTTTTTTTTGTTTCTATATTTTTGCTATGATAAATAGAGAATAATAAAAGATAATAGAAGTTTTTAGGAACTAATTCTTTAATTTTTTTAGAATTTCCTTTACATAAAAAACTAATAATAAAAATACTTTTCCTTTTAGTTCCCAAAAAACTAAAAACTAAAAAAATCCTTTTTCTCTTTTTTAGTTTAGTTTTTATCCGCATTTTAGTGCCGCTTCACCATGTTATGTTTTGACACGTTTTCTCATTGTACAAGGTACATTTTTGTGTTCTCGATCACGTAACACAACAAGTAGTTATATGATCGAAGCATATGGCTTATACTTATTTTTGATGCGACTCGCTTTATTTCTCATCGTCCTGAGAAAATTCATATCGTGTTATATGTTTTCCTGACGCGTGTGATGCTTTATGAGCTTTGTGCAGGAACTTCTGATTTTGTGTTGCATTTGCAACATGTGTTTTCCTTTATCTTAGTTGTATATCATTTTTGACTTGGTTTGTTTCTTGGTGAAGCTTGCTCGACGCATACTCCCTGCTTCTCTAGCGCTTTCGTATGCTCCTGACGACTTGCTCGCTTTGGTAGTCTCCGCTACTACCCTTGTACTTCTTCTCTCTTTATTGCATTTCATTATTGCTTTCTAGATATCATGATAAGTAGGAAATAAAGAGCGTGCGCTCGAAGTCGCTGTTTAAAGACCTGTAGCAGGCATTCCTCACTTCATTTGCTATATGTGTTGTGCTTGTGTTTGTTTACTTTCTTATTGATCGATGAGTCACTCAATTTAGGAATTGAGATCACGAATTCGCTCTCAATGCATGCTCCCTATAGGATTTTATCGCTTTCCTTTACTTTTTGTTGATCGATGAGTCACTCAATTTAGAAATTGAGATCACGACTTCGCTCTCATTGCATGTTCCCTATAGGATAGTTTTGTTAGACTTTCTTTGGCATGCTAACCTAGGTAGGATCCCTCTAGGTGTGCTCTCTTGAGCTTATTAGCTTGTTTGATTTCTCCTTGCACATACCATGTTCCCTTAGGACGTACTTGCTCCTTTTGGATGCAAGTTAGACCTTAGGTTGCAAACCAGACATGCTAACATTAGATAGAGATTTCCCTCTTGTAAATCCGAACCTTAGGACTACCATTGTATGATAACATTAGGTTAGAAATAGTCTAGTCTCCCTTAGACTCTTTTCTTCCCCTTTTGCATATGCATCTAAAACAAAAACTTCTTTTCTTAGCAAATAAAAAACATGTTAATCTCACTTAAACCCTTGTTCAAGGTAATAAAACACAAACCAATTCAAACCATTTTGTGCGCTCTAGCACCATTTCTCTAAAACCCTTTTAGGTAAGGACATGATTAATTTACTTCTGTACCAACGCATAAGTCTCCAAAGGTCGAGCTGTAGCAGAAGGCGGAATTAGCATAGTCCATAGAAAACACAAAACAAACAAAACATGTGAGCCGAACTACGGTAGCTCTGATTCCTCAAAAAGGATACATAGGCATTGGGGTAGGGCCCAAGAAAGTACAATTTTATTTTCCCTACATTATTTTCTCATTTCTTTTGCATGCATTCTCCCTTCAGTAGTATAGTAAACAGTAAGCATAGATTAAACACACCCATAAGATAGATAACAAGAGTGGATACCATAGACTACTACGGGCGTGTGGGGTGCTAATACATTCCCCTCGCGTAACAGACTCCCTTACCCGATCTCTCGGTTACAAGACCGTGACTTCTCCTTTCTCAGGTTTTCTCGATGTTCACCTTTCCATTCATGTGGGATAAAAGACATTCGATGGCGACTTCATTGTTTGATGATTTTTAGCCAGTTGTTTCAACAAGCTTTTGAAGAAGTGCTGGCCCTTCTCATCTATGGAATGGTACTATTCCCTAACACGGACCAACTCATAGATGTGAATGCGGTTAAGGTTTTTCTGTCTCATAATTCGGTACCAACTTTACTTGGGAATATTCTACACTCTCTGCATACTCGCACTTTAAAGAGAAGAGGGACCCTTCTATGTTGCACTCCTCTATTGGCTAGGTGGTTTATTTCGCACCTACCCCGGTCTGTTTTGAGAAATGAGCAGGGTATGAGATGGTCTCATAGGTTGATGTCCCTTACACATTCGGATATTCATTAGTGTTCGCGATTCTCGGAGAGTATCACTATCATTAATCGCTGTAGGGAATTCCCTAATGTCCCTCTCTTAGGCATTAGGGGAGGAATCACTTATAACCCTTGTTTGAAGTTGCGACAGTTTGGTTATGCTAGAAGGGATGGTCCTCATAAAACACTCGTCCAAGAAATCACATTTGACTATGAGAATGATATTCAGGGTTATCGTAAGAGGTTCATTCGAGCTTGGGGAATGATAAACAAAGTTGATAGCAAGACACTGGGGCACAAGAATTCCATCCCTCTTGAGCCTTACCTCAAATGGGTGTGAGCCCGTACTCAATGTCTTATGATGCCTTACCCCGTGATGTTACCTGTGATTATGGAGCCAATTGCTGATGGAGGCACTCCTTACACCGTGCTTCATCCTGACATGCCAACTGATCTTGAGGAGCTACGGAAATCCTGGATTCAACTCAAAGAAGAACGAGATACCTTTGAAACCCAATTCTACGCCAGTCAGAAGAAGTTTTTAGAGCTCACCAGGTTACTTCACGAGGAGAAGAGTATAAATGCTTACATTGCACCAAAGAGGATGCACCTGTGGGAAGCTTGAGTCTTCCTTTTCTTGGAGAGTTTTTTTTTCTTTGTTTCCTTGTGAGCCTAAGAGGCATTATTATGATCAATAAAACATCTTAATACAATTAACGTTTGTTCTCTTTATGTTTAAGAAAATTTAAGTCTTAGAAATCCTTGAAAGCATTGCATACATATATCATACATATCATTGCATAAGCCGGTTTCAAAGCAGGCTTCTCATCTTCTTCGCTGTTTATTTCAATAATGGCTCTATAACAAATAGTGAAGGATCTACAGACTCGGAATGCTCAGTTTCAATAGATGATCATGGCTCTGGCCAAGGGGAAAGAGCAACTGAAATCCCTGATTGTAAAAGAGAAGATTAAGAAGCCAAGGAAGACAGTTGGTGTGGTAAATTTGGGAAGGAGGTTCAAAGGACCACTAAGGAAAGTGGTTGAGCTGAAATCTTTATCAAAAGAAGGAGATAATCAAGAAGGGGAGACAAGAGAGGAAGACCCCAGTCCAAGGGAATCTGATAATGAGACTGACTATAATGAGGAGCAATATCCTCTGGACGAAGAAAAATACAAACAGCTGGAAGAGCACCTAAGTGCAATGGAAATCCAGAAGGTGCCTGGGATGGATTTTAAAGAGTTGGGTTTGGTCTCTGGGGTTGTCATCCCGCAAAATTTCAAGGTTCCGGTGTACGCCAAATATGATGGGGTTTAATGTCCCAAGATGCACCTCTGATCTTATGTGAGGAAGATTCAGCCTCACATTGCTGATAAGGACTTATGAGTCCACTTCTTTCAAGATAGTCTATCCGGGACTCAACTAGAATGGTTCTACTAGCTGGAAAGGACCAACATTCGTAATTGGGAAGACCTGAGATAAACATGAGTGGAAACCTTCGCCACAACCCGAAAATAAATGACAACCAGATGGATGATAGAGAGATTTTGTTTGAGAAGACTCCCGTTCCGACTATTTCTTGCAAGGGTGTTTCAATCATAACCATTTCCGCCAATCCTCCCAGGGTCTGCACCAAAAGACCCGTCAGGATTACATTTGCTCCGAAGGTGGCTCCTCTGATAATCACCATGCCAGGGCCAATCCCATACTCCTCGGACAAGGCCATTCCTTGAAACTACAGGGCTGACATCTACTACCACGGTGTCAAGCAAGACCTGCTGGCTGCTAAAGACCAAGTTTCTAAAAATGCTGATCCCGACATTGGTAACATTGTTGGAACCAGCAGAATAACAAGAAGTGAGTGTTCTCCCCTAAGATTTCTCCTCCTAAAGCTGTTACTAGTCCTGTGATCATTCCTACTTTTGTTCCTGCTGATACTACTACTGCAATTCCTATGATTACCCCTGTTGACACCCCTATCACCGAGTTGCCCAAGACTCGGGGAAAAGACATATTGATTGAGCCTGTCCAGACGAAGGGGCATTCATAATTTATCCCAGAGGCTTCCAAGAAGAAAATGGAAGAAATTTTGAACATTATAAAGAAGAGAGACTACAATGTGGTCGAATAGTTGGGGCAGACCCCTTCCAAGATTTCTATGCTAGACTTACTGTTGTGCTCCGAAGCTCATGCAAAGGCTTTGATAAAGTTCCTTAAAATGGCCCATGTGCCACAAGAATCCCCCACTGACCAATTTGAAGATTGTGTGGCCAGTTTGACGGTTGATAACAATTTGGGTTTTTCTGATGCTGATCTAACACCCAGAGGAAGAAAACACAATGATTCGCTACATGTTTTCGT